AAAAAATCAACAAGAGTAGAAGTTGGTTTTTTGAAAAGCTTCATAAAATTGACAATCCACTGAAAAACATAACAAAGGGAAAGAAGGAGATAATACAAATAACATGAATAAGAAATGAAATGGGCATCATCACAACACAACCAATTGAAATAAAAAGGATAGTATCAGGATACTATGAAGAACTGTATTCCAACAAAGTTGAAAATCTGGAAGGAGTGGACACACCACTTACCTAGAGTAACACAGACTGATGTGGAAAAGTTGAACAGACTCATAGGAAAAGAAGAGATGAAACAGGTCATAAAAAAAATTACCAACAAAAAAAAAGTCCTGGCCCAGAAGATTTCACTGGAGAATTCTACCAAATATTAAGAGAAGAGCTGACACCAATCCTACTCAGACTATTCCAAAACATAGAAAAGGGTAGGATCCTCCCTAATTCATTTTATGAAGCAACCATAACCTTGATACCTAACCCACATAAAGACATCACTCAAAAGGAAAACTAAAGATCAATATCCCTCATGAATATAGATGCAAAAATCTTCAACAAAATCCTAGCCAATAGACTCCAACAACATATCAAAAAATCATTCATTATGACCAAATGGGATTCATATCAGGTATGCAAGGATGGTTCAGCATAAGAAAAACAATCAACGTTATCCACCACACAAATCAAACAAACAAACAAAAAAAGAACCACATGATCATATCAATTGATGCAGAAAAGGAATTTGATAAAATCCAACACCCATTCCTGATCAACACTCAGCAAAATCAGAATAGAAGGGACATTCCTCAACATAATGAAGGACATCTATGCGAAACCAACAGCCAACATTATTCTCAATGTAGAGAGACTGAAACCATTCCTCTTGCAAAGAGGAACCAGACAAGGATGCCCTCTATCACCACTTCTACTCAAAACTGTATTGGAAGTCCTAGCCAGGGCAATAAGACAAGAAGGGAAAATCAAAGGCATACAAATTGGTAAGGAAGAAGTCAAACTATCCCTATTTGATGATGATATGATCCTATACCTAGAAAACCCAAGAGACTCAGTCAAAAATCTACTGGAACTAATTGAGAGATTTAGCATAGTGGTAAGATAGAAGATCCCCATACAAAAATCCATTGGATTCCTCTACTCCAGCAAAGAGACTGCTGAAAAAGAAATAAGGAAATCAATACCATTTAAAATAGCTACGAAAAAAAATAAAATAAAATACTTGGGAATAAATCTTACCAGGGACACAAAAGACTTATATAAAGAAAACTATGAAACACTACTTCAAGAAACTATAAGAGATCTACATAAATGGAAGAACATACTAGGCTCATGGAGAGGAAGATTGAATGTTGTAAAAATGTCATTTCTACCCAAAGCAATCTATACATTAAATGCAATCCCAATCCAGAGTCCATCAATATTCTTTAAGGATATGTAAAATCCAATGTTCTGGTTACTTAGTGCCACTCTGACAAGAATATATCACAAATGGGATGGCCTTAACAAGCAAGAATTTATTCTTACAATTTGGAGGCTTTAAGTCTGAGTTCAAAGTGCCAGGCTCTAGGGGCTTGGTAAAAGCCCCTCAGCCTTGGGCTTCAGCTCTGCCTCTAGCACCCAGCCCACTGAAGCTAGAGGCTTTTCTTCACTCAGACAGCTGCTGGTTGCTGAGGCTGCCAAGCCCAAGGTTGACTAATAAAATGGCACAGTCCCAATGTTACCAAACCACATGGCAGGCCATTAATTCAAGTCCATTGTAAGTCCCCAGGTCGGCAAGAGCATGGCAGGCTGCAGAACAATGACACGGCTACATGCAGAGTCCAAGCGTGCCATAGGCTAGAGACCATTCTCAAGGCTTCTCCTTATATACAGGAAGCAGACCATATCCCAAAGGCAGCTACTTAGCTGCTTGTGGTAGATCCCACCATGGAGTTGATTGCTAGTCTCATCATGGGGAATAATTACCACCAGCTGCCCAGCCACTCAACCAGGCCTGGCCAAGTTGACACACAAACATAACTACCACAACCAGTCATTAACTTTATATGGAAAGGAAAGAGACCTCGAATAAGCAAAGCATTATGGAAGAAGAACAAAGTAGGAGGTCTCATACTCTGGAATATTAAAACCTACTGTATAGCCAGAGTAGTCAAAATTCCCTGGTATTGGTACAATGATAGACACATTGACCAATGGAATAGAATTGAGAATCCAGAAATAGATCCATCGACTTATGGTCAGCTGATCTTTGACAAAGGGCCTAAATCCATTAAATGGGGAAGAGATTGTCTGTTTAACAAATGGTGCTGGCAAAACTGGATATCCATTTGCAGAAATATGGAACAAGATCTGTACCTCACACCATACACAAAAACTAACTCCAGATGAATCAGACTTAAATGTGAAACCTAAAAGTATATAGTTCCTCAAGGAAAAGCTAGGGGCAAATTTAGGGGCCCTAATCTATGACATAAATAGACTATCAAGTATAATCCAAAATGCATAAAAAACAGAAGATAAATTAGATGAATGGGACTTTCTAAATTTTAAATTTTTATGTGCTTCCAAAGACTTCTCCAAAAGAGTCCAAAGAGAATCTACAGATTGGGAAAAAAAATGTTCAGCAATGACATATCTGACAAGGGACTTATCTCCAGAATTTATAAAAAACTCCAACACCTCAACAGTAAAAAGACAAATAATCCAGTTTTAAAATGGGCAGAAGACATGAACAGACATTTCACCAAATAGGATATTAAGGCGGCCAACAAACATATGAAGAAGTGCTCACGATCATTAGCCATTAGAGAGATGCAAATCAAAACAACAATGAGATACCATCTTGCTCCAGCACTAGTAGCAAAGATCAACAAGACAGAAAGTAACAAATGCCAGTGAGGATGTGGAGAGATTGGGACTCTCATACACTGCTGGTGGGACCATCAAATGATACAACCACTGTGGAAAGCAGTATGGAGATTCCTTAAAAAGTTGGAATTAGAAATACCATTTGACCCACCCATTCCATTACTAGCAATATATCCTAAAGAAGTGAGAGCCATGACAAGAACAAATATATGCACACCCATATTCATCGCAGCACTATTTACAATAGCCAAAAGATGAAGACAACCTAGGTGCCCATCAACAGAAGAATGAATAACCAAACTGTGGTACATAAACACAATGGAATACCATGCAACCCTAAAGAATGATGTAGAATCTACCAAACATCGTATAATGTGGATGAACTTGGAGGACATTATGCTGAGTGAAATAAGTCAATCACAGAAGGACAAATATTCTATTAGTCTGTTATTTTAAAAAGTCAAGGAAAAGTTTATATATGGGAGGAAATTTTCTTTGTTGGTTACCAGGCATGGGAGGGGAGGGGAAGGAAAGGAACACTTTAAGATAGGTAGAGACAAGTATTGATTTGGGTGAAGAGAACGGCAGTGTACCAAATGTGAGTGAACAATATGGTGGCATTGAGGAAGAAGACATAGAGAAATGCATGGGAAGTAAAGACAACAGAGAGGAAGGAACCCTTTTGCCCATACAGTACTGCGTTGTCAGTGAAGGCAAATATTGATATACTGGTGGATAAATGGGTGGACAGGCTGAACTATTAGGTGTGTCTATGCAGGGGGGCCTAAGGAGCTCTGGTAGTATAGTGCCTAAGGCATTTGACTGATAACCAGAAGGCTGGAGGTTCAAATCCACCAGCCACTCCTCAGAAGGAAAGTTGGGCAATCTACTTCCATAGTGATACTGCCTCAGAAACCCAAGGAGGGGTCTCTATGAGTCGGGTCTGACTCGATTGCACATAACAACAACAACAACAACATAAGAATTCCCAGGTATATGATAGAGCTGACAAGGGACAAGGTTGTAGCCACTTCTTGGCCACCACCAGCTACCTAAAGGGAGGAAGTAGTTGGACCTGTGGGCTTGGGACCATAGTCGTAGGGCACATCAAGCTTAATAGGTGTCATATACTACACAAAACATTGTTCCACATCCTACTTTGGTGACTAGTGACTGGGATCTTAAAAGGTTGCAAGCTGCCATCTAGGTGCAATGATGGGTCTCTCCTCGTCCAGAGCCAAGAACAATGAAGAAAACCAAAGACACATGGAAACAATTAGTCCAAGGTATACCATGCTATCCTCAGCCTGTTCGACTATGAGACCAGAAGAACTAGATGGCCTGGCTGCCAGTGTCAACCACTCAGATGGGGGAATCTATGTAGGTGATCCTGGATAGAGTGGGAGTACAATGTGGAATAAAACTAAAAATCATTAAAAAAAAAAAAAAAAGGGGACCAGGTTTGCTGGCCCGATAGAGCCTGATGGAACCACTAAGATTATGGCCCCTAGTTGCTCTTCAGGTCTGAAACTGAACCTATCCCTGTGCTTCCAGCCAAACAAAAGACAGGCATATGAGCTGAAAATTTACATTAGGTAGACACGCTCTTTGGAGAGATCAGTCGTGGGAGAATGGGAGAGCTGTGTATGCACAGGGAGACAGCTAAGGGGGCAGAAGTGCATGGGAGGGAAGGACACAGGGAAGAGGTAACTATGGGGAGGAAGTGGGAGGGGATCTGTTGCATTATGGGAAATTGCAGTCAATGTCATGTGACAAAGTGTGTGTAAGCTGCTGTATGAAAAGTGAATTTGTCTGTAAACTTTCACCCAAATCACAATAAAAATTGAAAAAAAAAAAGATTAAGTAATCAATGGCTATAAAGCACTTTCAAGGACAAAAAATAGTGTTATTTTCTCCTTTGGACCTTTGCTGATAATTTCGTCTGAGAAGGTACCTGGGTTGCTAGGTAAGTGTAGGAGTTTGACTAATAATAATAATAGCCAACATTAATATAATGCTTATATGCTCCAGGTACTGTTCTCAGTGTTTTTTGCATATATTAATTCATTGAAAGAAATATCCTAAAGGTATTTAGTATCTCTGATTTATGTTTTTTTAGGTTGAAAATTGGTGTCCTCATTTACCTTGGAGAGCAAAAAATCCCTATGAAGAAGCTGATCATAATTCACTGGTAAGTGATTTTGGATACCTTTCGCTAGGCTTGTGTGTTTAGGTCAGATGCCAATTAAGTGCATGAAGAATCTTCTAGAAACTCAAGTTGTAAGGTGAAATAGTGTTAAACTGAAAAATTCCTATGGAAGTCTTGGTGACAAAATCAGTTAATGAGTTAACATATATTTATCTATGGAGAAATCCTCTAAAGTTTCCTAAATAATATGCACCTCATGTGAACAAATCTGATACCAGACATGGAAGCACTAAGTGAACAAATGAAGGTGATTGCTATAAATAATGACCATACCGGTCATAGGCACTATCATTGTGGCCTATGGGAAATAATGAGTAAGTGATAATCTCAGTCCACAGGGGCCAGGGGACAATTCATAGGGAAGTTGAAATTGGAGCTGAATTTAAAATGAGAGTGAAAATTCTGGGAAGAAGGAGTATAGGAACCAGCGTTCTGACTCTCCCCAACAAATACAACAAGGAAATGGCACTCAGCTTTAAGGGACTCTTAATCAGGGATCAAAGGAAAACAGTGGAGAACAGCAGAAAGACAGAATCAAGGAATCAACAGTGAATTGAATATGGTAAGAAAAGCACCTCTTCCATAGTCCCTGCCCCTCCCCTGCTCTGAACTGGGGAACTAACCCTGGGAAAAGAGCCTGTTTCTCTAACCATAATACCCTCTGCTGGTGCAGAGAGATGGGACCCCAAGATTCTGTACTAAAATCAATACTGTACTTCCTGGAGGTCCATTTGTAGTGTGTCAGTACCTCCCCTCACCCAGATACTGTTAGCTGCAATCCTACTGTGAATAGCTACAGAATTCACAGTGAAGTCAGCTCTGCCTTGGAGTCTGCTTTCATAGCCAACACTTTGTCTGCCTTCCTGTATACCTCATAGTTCAGGTGTTTGAAACAAACAGGAGAGACCTCTCAGGGAATCAATTTGAGTCTGCTTACTTCCCCTTCTGGTCAAAGTTGAGGACTGCTGACTGAGGGAGGGAGTTGTGTAATAGGATGCAGACATCTTGAATGGAGACTACACGCATAGCCAACATACTACAGAGGGACTCTGAAAGCAAGATAGACATCCCTGGGGTCCATTAAGAGTATGGCAACCCCTGTTCTACCCAGAGACTGTCACCTACAAGCCTGTAGTGAATTGCTACACAAGACCCCTGGAGTGGAATCTGCTCCCTAAGTTAGCATCAGGTGTCTAAAATCATTAGTACAAACCTTTGGAGGGTAGGGTACAGGAGCAGCACATAGTTCTGGCTTAGTTTTCTGCTACTTCCAGTTGGTCCTGAGAAGTGCTCTCTGAAATTGCTGTGTGCTAGGAAACAGGCATCTGGACTGTAGATTACATCCACAACCAACATACTGCAGGGCAGTCTGTGATAGCAATAAGGTAGACTTATCTGGAGATACATTTGGAGCATGACAGCCCCTACTTCACCTAGTAACTGTTGGCTGCTGGACTGACACAAAATCCTACAGAAAGTCCCTACAGTGGAGCCAGGAAAAGAGTCATCTAAATGGAGACTGCCCCTTTCCCCAACACCAGAGGGCCACTGTGAAACCAAAAAGACAGATCCCTTATAGGTTCCTCTGGTGAGTGCCAAATAACTCATCCTGTAGAAGCAGGAATGTCTAATTATGCTCCCCCTGAAAGGAAGCTCAGATAGAAGCAACCTACACAGAGCAGGAAAGATAGCCACAGGAAAAACAGGAGAGCAACACTCAACCCTAAAGGGGGCTCATTTGGTGTGGATTGACTGGTTTAAAATGTGGTTGGAAAAACAGAAGGATACTGAAAATACCAGAGGCTATCAGAAGAATGAACAAATCTGTCTTAGAAGCAGGAATGGCCAGACTACTTCTCAGGTTCTTTGGTCATATTATAAACAGGGACTAGTCCCTGGAAAAGGACATCATACTTGGTAAAGTAGAGGGTCAGCAGAAAAGAGGAAGACCCTCAAAGAAATGGATTGACACAGTGACTGCAGCAATGGCTGAAACATAACAAAGACTATGAAGATGACACAGGACCGGGCACAGTTTCCTTCTGTTGCACATAATCAGTATGAGTTGGAACTGACTTGATGACACCTAACAGTAACAACAGCAATGAAGCACATCCAATAAACTTAATGAACCCCAAGTGGGATAAACCCAAAGAGATCTATACCAAGACACATCATAGTTAGGCTCTCAAAAATTAAAGATAAAAAGAGAATCCTAAAAGCAATGAGACAGAAGCGAACAGTTACATACAAAGTATTCTCAATAAGATTAAGTGCTAAATGAAACAAGATCTGTACCTCACACCACACACAAAAACGAACTCCAGATGGATCAAAGACTTAAATGTGAAACCTAGAACTATACAGTTCCT